TCCCCTTCACCTGTCCCTCTCACCTCAGAGTGACCGTCCCCTTCACCTGTCCCTCTCGCCTCACAGTGACTGTCCCCATCAGCTGCTCCTGTTCATCGCTGCACAGAAACAACTTTAGCTGCTACCTCACTCCAGATACCACCCACATGTAATCATCTAAAAGGAAAATGGCGGCCAGTGTGGGGACCAGGCCATGGAAATGGGTGGGGGAGGGAAGAGGCGGGTCATAGGCAGATCACAGAAACTGGGCTGCCTGCCAACCCTTTCTGGGCTCTTGTCGCATCACAGGGTGGAGACTCTTGCTGTTTCCAGGTGTTTTGGTGTCTTTAGTTCAGCCGTTCCTTATTTTTCTGTTGTGTTTACTCGTAAGTACACTGACAGCTTGCAGGTTATGAGTCCTAAACTATCCCTTCAGAAACTCCACGGCAAAAACCCCTGCATATTTTATTGTCTAATGACAGCTCATAAACCAATTACATAACAGTCTGACAGCACCAAACCCAGAAGCTCTTCCCTTTTCTTGGTTGAGATATAATTCATATAACATAAAAATAACTATTTAAAAGTGAACGGCACGGTGGCATGTAGTACGGTCACAAAGTTGTGCAGCCATCACCTCTAGCTCCAGACATTTCTGTCACCCAAAGGGAAACCCTTACCCATCAGCAGTCTCTCCCGACTCCCTGCCCACAGTCTGGCAGCCACCGATCTGCTCTGTCTGCATAGATCTGCCTACGGAAGATACTTCATATGAAGAGGAACAAACAACACGTGCCTTTTCGTGTCTAGCTCGTTCACACAGCATAATGTTTTCAAGGTTAGTCCATGTCGTATCATGCGTTAGTTCTTCTTCCTTTTGATGGCTAAATTATTGTCCAGTATACGGAGAGACCACACCTTGTTTATCCGTTCACCGGTTGATGAACATCTGGGTTGTTTCCTCTGCTTGACTATCGCGAATAGAGCTGCAGTAAACACTCACCTGGAAGATTTAGTTTGAACACGTGCTTTCAATTCTCGTGGGCACATACCTAGGAGTGGGACTGCTGGGTCACATGGCAATTCTACATTTAATTTTTTGAGGAACTACCCAACAAACTGCTTTCCACAGTGGCTGCTGCGCTATTTTATGTTCCCATCAGCAATGCACAAGGGTTCCAATTTTTCCACATCATTTCCTACAGACGCTATTTTCCATCTTTCTGTTATGTCCATCTAGTGGGCATGAAGTGATATCTCTTTGTGGTTTTGATTTGCATTTTTCTAATGACTTTTGATGCTGAGTGTCTTTTCATGCACTTGTCCATTTGTATATCTTCTTTGGAGATATGTCTATTCAAGTCCTTGCCCATTTTTAAGTTAGGTTGTTTGTCTTTTTGTTTTTGAGTTGTAGGAGTTCTTTATGTATTCTGGATACTGGACCCTCACTGGATATCTGATTTGTAAATATTTTCTCCCATTCTGTGGGTTATCTTGGTTATCTTTCCACTTTGTGGGTTTTTCTTAATGTGGTACCCACCCAAAGTTACTCAGGCTGCTGGTCAAACTTTAAATAGGCAGCAGAAGCTGGGGATAAACCGAACCAAGTCTAGCGTGCACTGGACTCCTAAGACAACAGAGAGGCCTCCCCAGAAGACAAGGGGGAGGCCGGAGAGGAGGAGACACAGCAGGGAGATGGACGACAGGCCGATGGCAGTGAAGAGGGCAGCAAAGAGGAGGGCACACAGCAGAGAGCAAACAGCAGACACGCGCAGGCACCTGGGAGAGACCCACCGGCAGGCGGGCAGCACCTCCATTCTGGGCGGCAGGTCCACATGTGGCTTTGCCATTGTTTGAATATTGGTCCCCTCCAAAATTCGTGTTGAACCTTCATTCCCCATGTGCAGTGTTGAGAGGTGGGGCCTTTAAGGCCTCTGCCCCCATGAACGTACTAATCCATTCCTGTGCTAATGGCTGACGGGTTGCCATGGGAGGGAAACTGGTGAGTTTACAAGAAGAGGAAGAGAGACCCTGAGCTGACGCAGGCGCACGCCTGGCCCCCCACCATGGGACGCCCTGCGCCACCCTGGGACTCTGCAGAGCACCAGCAGGAAGGCCCTCAGCAGGTGGAGACCCGACCTTGGACCTCTCAGCTTCCATAACTATAAGAAATAAATTGCTTGTCTTTATAAATTGCCCAGTTTCTGGTATTCTGTTAGCACCAGAAAACAGACTAAGACAGGCTTTGTCCTCGGAGATGAAACCTGTCCTCCTTGCCTCCAGCCCGGCCCACTGCTCCGTGTACCCCACCCTCACAGACAGACTCCTCGTGTCCTGTGCAGTGCACACCTGGGCCCCAGCTCAAAGCTCACTTCTGTCCAGAGCTCAGGGAGAAGTACCCCCCTGCCTCCCCCTATAAGGTGGGGCCTGCAAATGGGCGGAGCCCCTCCCACCCCCAGGCCGTCCTGTGTGGGCTCTGGAGGGAGGGACCATTGCTCGGGTATCCCAGGAGCCCCGCCGAGCACACGTGGCTTTATTCCTTCGAACCCCCTCGGGACACTGACCGCCCCTTGCTGCTGTGCCGCACCCCCCGCTCTCCACCCCAGCTCCGTGCTGCAGAGTGAAGACCCCACAAAGGTGGGTGGAGAGGGTGGGTGGTGGGAGTCGAGGAGCCACGTGGAAAAGAAACACTCCTCCGTGCTGGCGTGGGCTGCAGTCGGGAGCCCACGAGGAGGCTCGGGGAAGAGGCTGCCGTCTCCACCAGGGCAGGACGCAGTGGGGACAAGGGGACCCAGCCCACACCCCAGGAGCAGGACACAGGCAGGGGGACCACAAGCCAGCTCAGGGGGAAGGAACATTGAAGAGGATGCCCTGAGGCACCACAATATAAAACACCTGTGAATAAATCCAACAAAAGACATCCAAGACATCTAAACCAGAACTGTAAAATATTGCTGAGAAAAATTTGAAAAGACCTAAACAAACAGAAAGATATACCACGTTCTTGGGTTGGAAGATTCAATATTGTTAAGACAGCCATTCTCCCCACAAACTGATCTGTAGGGTCAGTGTAATCTCAATTAAAACTCCAGCAGGAATTTATGTAGAAATGCAAAGGACCTAGAATAGCCAATTAGAAGAACAAAGTTGGAGGACGTATCCTACTGATTTTAAGCCTTCTCTGAAAGTACATTATTAAAGATGGTTTGGTTATTAGAGAAAACATGGAATATAGATGAATAGAACAAAACAGAGAAGTCTAGAAATAGACTTGTATGTTTTTCATTGGGTCTATTCATTCGACAAATTATTTCGCAAAGATACTAAGGCAATGAAATAGGAAAAAGAAATCATTTTCAATAAATGGTGCTGGATCAACCGTATATCCGTGAAAACAAACGAACATCACTGCTAACCTCACACAATACCAAAAAATTAACTTCAAATGGATTATCAGACCTAAATGTAAAACTACTATAAACCTTTACAAGAAATCATGTGCAAAAATCTTTGAGACCTTGGGGTAGTCACAGGACTCTCAGAACACAAACGAACAAAAATGTGATACATTAGTCTTCATCAAAAGTTTTTAAAAAATCTTTCAAAAGTCAGTATTAAGAAAACGAAAAGGTAAATCAGAGATTGGAAGAAAATATTCACAAGGAGTTGTATCCAGAATGTAAAATGTTGCCAGGAATGTAAAATGATACAACTGCTTTGGAAAAGTTTGTACGTTTCTTAAAAATTTAAACATACACCTACTATACGGCCCAGCAACTGCACTCCTAGCAATTTACCCAGGAGAAATAAAAACATACATCCACACAGACTTGTTCAGAAATGTTCCGGGCAGTTTTATTTGTAATAGCCCAAACTGGGAACGGCCTGAATGTCTGTCCGCAGGGGAGTGAACAAATTTGGCGTATCCACACACCAGAACACTGCTGGGCAGTGAAGAGTAAACTGTCGATACAAACGTGGATGAATCTCAGAATCATTGTTCCAGTTGAAAGTAGCGAACAAAATACTGCATTGTTCCATTTGCACAGAGTGCCAGGAAACGCAAATCACCTGCAGCTACAGGAAGCACATCAGAGTTGCCCGGGGACACAGGTAGGGGAAGAAGCACATGGGCACAGGGAACTTTTGGAGTGACGGAAACGTTTGTGATCTTGATTTTGGTAATGGTTTCACGGGCGTATACAAAGTCAAAACTGATCAGACTGTACACTTTCACTACATGCAATTCCGTTGAAATGCATGTACCTCGGTTATACCCCAATAGAGATAAACATGCAGAAACCAGAAGGGAAGCCCTGCAGTTTCTACACTGTTATGGGCTGAAGGCAGTGTCCCTGGGGGGTGAGGACTCTGAGGACCCCAGAGGATGAGACTTGGAGCCTCGAACACGCTGATGCTGGCACAAGGCATTCGCTCCTGGAGAGTGCTGTGGATTCAGAATCGCCCATGGCACCCAAACCATGCCGCCCAGCAATGGGTGGACCAGAGGAAGGAAGAGGGTTTCAGGGCCCAGCTCCCCCTGTGCGGCTGCCCTCTGCACCCAGACCCTTGGGGGCCTCTGAGGAGCAGGTTCCAGCCCAGCAGTCAGCTCTTGTGCGTCTGGACCAATTCCGCTCCGACTGTAGGCTCACCTCCACTGTCCATACCCTTTATCACCCACCCCTTCCAGGTGAGAAGATGTGGCACACACAGACCCATCACCCACCACCCGCCCACAGAGGGGGCAGGACCAGAACTCCGCACAGCCCTCGGGTGTGGCAGGAGCCACAGCTGGGACGGCCGATGCCGGCAAAACGCACCTCCTGGGAGGGGCTGTGGGACGGGTGCCCCTGTTCTCAACATCAAAAACAAGGAATGTTCTGGTCTCCAGTTTCCCCGGAGCATGTCCCTGCGGGGGTTCTCCGTGTACGTGCACATACCTGGCAGCCCCTGTGTGGAGATGGACGGGCAGCCCTCACAGAGCCCACACCTGGACGAGCCAGCCCCAGTGGCCTCCCCGACCTGGCCGTGGCACACGTGTACGCACTGCGGGACGGGCAGGTGCAGGCGGGTGTGTGTCCCAGTCTGAAAACATTCAGCGACTATGCAAGTAATTTTCCTGCCTTTTATCGCCCCTCAAATCACAATTGTTTTCTTTTTTCTTTTCTTTCCACTTTTTTTCCTCTTTTCCCAAGTGCGCAAAAGCTTTAAACGTAAACATGTATACTTTAAGGATTTAAAGACTGTATTAGAGAAAACAATGGGACTATTCTCTTATAAACTTGGTCCAGGGAAGATCTTCCTAATCGCGATGTAGAATTAATTAGCCACAAGGGTAAAGATGGATAAATTCAACTTCACAAACACTCAAGTTTTTTCTGCATGGCAAAGAACACCTTCAGTAAAACCAAAACTGGGGTAAAGTATTTGAAACCCATTCAAGAATTAATTTCCCTAGTATACAACAGGATCCTACAAATCAAGAAGCACAAACACAATCTAACAGGAAAATGAGAAAGGATACAAACACAGACGGTTCACAGCAAAGGAAGAGCTGTCAAACCTCACTTATGACAAGAGAACGCAAATTAAAATGACCAAAGTCTGAACAGCACCACAGGCCAAGACACGGGGAAGAGGCCCTGCAGGGCGCGTCCTTCGATGCCAGGCGTCTGGCACCAACTAGTCAACCGCGAACGCCGCCCCCTCTGCCTGGACGACCCCACTTCTCAGTGTTTAGCCTGCCCGTGCGTGAGGGTCGGGTCTGGGATTCGATATCGCTCTTCCGCAAGCTGGTGACCTGTCACCGTCTCACGGATGCCTAAGGACTTACTACTCACGCACAGCAGACAGTGTGTGCATCAGCGTGGTTGTCACTTACCCTGTGCCCCCCAGTCCCCGGGAGTGACATGGAAGGATCAGGCTGCTGCTGCGTGTGCAGCTGAGAACACTGAGCTCAGGGAATCCTCCTCTTTTATAGTGAACAGCAAACACGCTGCTCTGTCCCAACAGGAGGCGTTACCTTGTCTTCCAAGGCCGCGCGTTGCAAACACAGCCCTGAGACGTGGCCAGGCGAAGACCGTGGTGCACCCGACACACACAGGCCAGCACGCGCAGCACCCAGGCGGGCTGACTCTCCCGATATTGAGCACATGTGCAAAACAACGCTCCGCCGAGACACGCCACAGCCCTGAAACAACCGGAACAGGCAAGACCAACACAGCACATGCACGTCCCGTGTAGCTGAAGAAGGGTGAACTGACACGGAGCAAACTCCGAGGTGGACAACGGTGTGCACAGAGGCTGGAATCAGCACGCAGACGCAACGTGTGTACTGCGCGTGCGTATTTGCCCGTTTACGCGTAACATAGCTCGAGAGGATTCACCGGGACCTGTTACAACCAGATGCCTCCAGGCCCGGAACCAGGCTGAGGAGACTTCCCTCTGAGCTTTGAACCAGGCGAACACACCACCTGTTCAAAACATCAGTAAGTGAAATGTAAACGCCCAGTGCCTCGAACACTCGCTACCTCAGGCCTCTGCACCAGAATAAAAACGTGATAAAAGCAGGAAATTTAATTCTGACCCCTCCCTCGACTGCCCCACCAGAGAGACCACTGCTTGCAGCCGCACGGCAAAGCTATTTTCTTATTTAATGTGCCAAACCCGTTACCAAACAAACCTCTGCTGAGTGCACAAACTCAAGAGCACGTGCCCGCTTGCCCACCCGCTCCGTGGACCCCGCATCGAAGCCTCGGCCTCCCCTCCTGGACCTCAGGACGCGGCCCCTTCCTAACCCTGACCCCAACCCTGCAGAGCCCCGCTGGGCCCGAGGGCGTCGCAGCACCGCCAGCCCCGCTGCAGCCGCCTCCCACGGTCCCGCTGCACAGGCGGCTCATCCCGGCTCTACCCCAGTGCGCCTGCGCAGCTGCACGGCTGCGCACAATCCCGCAGCGCGAGGCCATGGGGCCAGCTCGCGTCCCCAACCCGGGCCACACACGGGCACTGCCGCACAGGTGTACACACTCTACACACACACACACCTTCCACACACACAGCCTCACACTTGCAGCCTCACAGATGCACACGCAGTCCCCACGGGTCCCCCCAGGGCGGGCAGGGCCCTAGCTGTGTCTGTCCTGCGAGCCCCGCCCTCTGACTGCACCTCCCGGCCCCCAGGGTGTCCCCAGCCGCCCCGCCCCCACCGGGGGACCCTCCGCAGGAAGCCCGCCCACCGCGCGCCCACGTGTCTTGAAGCTGACTTTCTTCCATGACAACCCAGACTCGCCCCCTCAGCGAGGAAGAGGGAGCACAGAAGAGGGATACGTTACTGTTTCTGCAGGGGCTTCCTCCTCTTCCTCCCCGCGTACGTGCACTCGCCCGGCGGGATCATGGTCCTGGGCCCTGGAAAACCGGGGGGCGTCAGGGCGACGTCAGCAGACCCAGTGAGCCCGGCCCCCGTCCGTCCCTGCAGCCCACTCCCCTCACCCCACCCCCCGTGGGGTCCCTGCAGCCCACTCCCCGCACCCCACCCCCCGTGGGGTCCCTGCAGCCCACTCCCCGCACCCCA